TCATTTTAAGTGTCTAATGAAGGTGCAAATCTAGCATGTATTTTTGTTTTCTACTTGTTCTGTGCAGTTTAGTAAAATTTTCTTGTATTGTGTCTTTAGCTTGTTAAGAATTTTTTCCACTTAATTCAAATTAATTTAATCAAAACTCATACAACTTGGCATACTCACAGTATGCTTAAAGGTAACACATGACTCAAACATTCCCCTATTCTCTATGGATGAATTTTATACACAATCATAATATAACAGATACAGTAGAACTGCCAGTCTTACAACAGATGATACACTATAGTATACATTTGACAAAACCTTATCTAAATCTTTTTATATGTACACATTTATAGGATTATATATTCACACACATATATCCTTTATATGTAAATACATATATAGACACTGATGTTTTAGAAGAATGAAAATTCTAATTTTTATGCAACATAAAAATGAATATGCTAATAACAATCCATATACCACAATTCTAAATGGAATACCCTGATTCTGCTTAAAGTATTGCTTTAGATATAGTTCTGATAGAGGATACCATGTGTGTGTGCTGTGAATATGTGTTTTTATTTAATTGGTTTAATAAAACACTGATTGGCCAGGCAGAAAGTATAGGCAGGGCTACCAGACAAGTAGAATTCTGGAAAGAGCAAAAGACAGAGAGGGGCCATTAGAAAGATGTCAAGTAGCTACTGGTAAGATAGGACACCAACATTCTCCAGTAAGATAAGGCCATGTAGAATTACATAAATTAGTATTTATGTGTAATTAATTATAATTAATATAAGCCTCTGTGTATTTGTTTGGGGATAAATGGCCCTGGGACCAGGTAGAAGAGAAACTCCATCTATACAGTTCATTTGCCTAAAGCTACACACACCCAGTTATAATCTCATGAATATCTAGGCTTAGAATGTGTACATTTTACATTTCATTTAGGATTCAGATCTCCTTAAATCATTCCTTCAGATGTACTCAAATTTTTGATCCAATAACTTTTTTTTTTTTTTTTTTTAGTATTTTCTATACAAAGGACTAGTATTCTTTGTAAAGATTGAATCCTGGCCCTAGTTTTTATACACTTTTCGTGTCTTTTGCACTTAGCTATTTATTTATCCCTGAAAGAGAAGTGTCACCTCTAATTCTACTTGTCAGCCAATTCAAGTGTGTAACTTACTTCTGCCAGGAAACATTTCATGAACAATAATGTGCGTATGCGTGTGTGTGTTTGGGGGGGGGAGAGTTCTTGTTATCATTCTCTTCTGATCCATGGTTCCTGGAGACTGAGAAATGTTGAAGCACTGGAGGGCAAGATGAGCTGCTCCAGTGTCCCTGTGAGATGTTAGTCTTGTGAGTGGCTCTCTGTTTCAGGAAGGCAAATCCAGCTAAGATCAACCTGAGTCGAGAAGAGATAGGACACACTGCTTCATGATTGTGGGGCCAACAATAAATGGCTATTCTTTTAAGCTACAGAATTTTCTTCATTTTCTAATCTTCAGACTTCCTTAATTTTTAATGCTATTTGACATATTTTTTATATTTTTGTGCTTCTTAACACTTCTGGTAGTTTAATATTCTTTCTATATATATTTTCTATACACAAACACACAAATATGCATGCATTTCCTTTTATGATTCCTTTTCTACAATGTTCTTGATATCTTTCTTGTTTGTTTCACTACTCACTCGTAAAGACTCTACATATGATTTTTTCTTCTGGTTCTCATTATTTAATGTTGTATAATTCTGTCCTGCTGTATGACGTAGTTCTCCTATACCTCTATAAGAAGCACACAACATAAGAGTAAACTCATCTATATTTCACTAAAAAATTAATTAACAATATTACAAACACATTGTAACCATTACCCGAAATACATTTAAGCTTCCCATCTTTGTTTCCTCATTTTCAGAGATATTCCCCTGCTCCTTGAAAACTATTTTTCTTGAATTTGTCACTTATCAAATTCATACATATAGTTTTAAATATAAAATGCATGTTTTCACATTTTAAATTATATTTAAATTCTTAGCTATGTCATTGACAGTATTTATTTGCTATTTACATAATAGTTAAGTTCATTTTTACTGTCATAAAACACTTTATTGGAATATTATTTCACAATATAAACATATTTTCTTGACCTTAAATATTTTCTCCATTTCCAATTGGTCAATGTCACAATTTCACTGTGAATGTTGCTTTTCAATTCTCCCATAAAATATCTTGAGAGTTATTTACATAACTAGTATAAATGATTCAGAGTGTCCCCTGGCAGATGTCTGTAAACTCTGAAATTAATAAATTCCACCTGTCTGTTGTAATAATGCATTTCTACATTATTTTTATGGCTACAAGCCTATGGGAAACAGAGAGTCGAATTTGGAAGTTTGAGTAGGAATGGCTCTCATGGATGCAGGTGTTTGAAGGCTTGGCCTATAGGGAGAGGCATGGTTAGCAAGTGTGGCCTTTTTGGAGGAAGTATGCCATTGTGGAGGCACACTTTTAGATCTTGTGTGCTCAAGCTATGACCAGTGTGGCACATAGTCTCTTGATGCCTGAGGATCAAGGTGGTGCAGAAATCTCAGCCACTTCACTGATACTGTCTGTGCCTACATGCTACCGCTACTTGCCAAGATAACAGACTAATCCTTGAAATATGCTGAAAAATATGCCAACTACATATATATATATATATGTATGTATACATACACACACATATATATTGATATATATATATCATATATCATATATATATATATATATATATATATAGAGAGAGAGAGAGAGAGAGTTATAATTGTCATGGTATCAATAACAAAGATACTATTCTTGGATAGAATTGATGGGCTCACTTGGTATGATATGAAGCCTTAAGGATAAGCAACATACTTGAACACTGCTTTTTAGCTATCCTTTAACTCTATGCTTGTAAATTTTGAATACTTTGTGTTTGACCTCAATAATATGATTGCCACATCAATAAGCATATACAATCCCAGAAACATAAAAGAAAATAAATTTACCTTAATTTTCTAGAAGTAGACAATTTAAATTTGAGGTTATGCAAAGGATTAAAAGGTCTTTTAAAAAGTCAGTTTCCCTCAAAAATAACATGTCACATGTTTAGGAATTTTGGGTTATGGTAATGGAAAGGAATACTTGGATGGATGGATGCTTATTATAAATAAAATACTTATCTCTTATCTAGATTTTTTTCTATTTCAATTTAAATGAAATTCCACATTAAAATGTGATTATCTCGGCCATAGAAAGTGATGGTAATGTTTTCCTTCTAGGGAAAATAAAGAATGTTCAAGCCCTGTTGTCCCACTGCATTAATACCAAAAACATACAAACAAACAAACAAACAAAAAAAAGAAAGTGATGGTAAGATTGTATTATAGAATATTCCCCTGGATTTTAAGAGCATAGGCCAGAGCCTGTGTTCATCTCCCATTTCTGTGAGTGATATCATCAACTCTATGATGTTTTGACGCATCATTGGCAACTTTGTTTTGATTGATATTTGTTAAAATGGTAGGTTTTTTTATAATAGGAGCCTCTTAATTTGTCTTTTAATATAATAGAACTTTATTTAAGTGAAGCAGTTGTTTTCTAAAATGCCTATTTCTAAGCATATGATGATTTGGTTTCATAACCCATAGATTGTTTCTGAGTTTCCAACTTGAGATGTATAATGTTTTTATATTACTATTCATGTTTGCATAAATATAGAGAGTAACCAAAACTGCTATCCAACAGATTACCGTTGTGTATTTCATCTTAACAGTGTGTGCATGTGTGTGTGTGTGTGAGAGAGGGGGTGGGGTGGGGATGAAAACATGCAATAGGAATAAAGGGAAGTGAGAAAGTGATTGAGAAGCAAAGAGTTTAGCTAAACTCAAATATTGAAAACTGATAACATAGGGATGCTTCACGTGATTATTATTTGAAAATTTTCAGAAACTAAGTTGCCTAATCTTAAAATTCTTGTATTTCAATTTATTTAATAAACTTTTGAAGTCATCATTTACTATTTTTATTTTTTTCCACTCACACACACTTGGCTATCATTGTGGAGTATCACCATTTATTACGAATTTAAAAATTATATTCAATAACTTCACTGTCAACAGGAATTAATGCTCTCTGCAGATCTGAAAATACATTTTAAACTGTTTATTTATTTATTTATTTATTTATTTGTGCTTATCTTTGCATGCTACTCAGAAACTACCTGCTCAATTTCTCTTAGGATAACATAAAATAACTCAATCAGAGATGCCCATGCATGCACCATCAGGCAAGCACCTTTAAACTATCTATGTACTTAGTAATGCAGCGATTTTGTGAGAGTGTTCAACTGACAGGGGAAAGACAGAGGAAATTTGTTCCCCTCTTTTTTTTTTTTTCTCATTTTACATATTGATCCCAGTTCCCTCTCCCTCCCTCCCTTCCTCTCTCCCTCTATCCATTCCTTCCTCCCTCTCTTTCTTCCTCCTACCCATGCCCCCTGATTCCCCCTCCCATCCTAGAATCCAGATGTAGAGAGGGAAGAATGATAAGAAAATGGGAGCAAGAGCAGGCTACACAAACCCACAGAAACAACTGACATGAACAAGGGGAAGCTCATGGACCCCCAGACTGATAGCTGAGAAACCAGTATTGGACTGACTCAGACCCCCTCAGTTAGAAAGTCTGGGTAGTCTAAGGGACCTCTGACAGTGGAACCAGGATGTATCCCTGATGCATGAAAGGACTTTTTTCCCTTCTTTTACAAGAATGTCTGGTTAATTATGCAAATATACATGCTCTAACCCATTGTAACAGGCAACATTTCCTAATAAGTTAAAGGACTAATCTTCTGATGTGTTTATCTGTCTCAATATAGCTTTCTGGAAATACTCAGAATATATTCTCTCTTGAATTTTATAGTGTGTTTTATGTCTAAAATTTTTACCATTTTTAAAGAAATTGTCACTTTTTGTTTTAGGAATATACAATAGATGTTTTCTTTCGACAAAAATGGAAAGATGAACGTTTAAAATTTAAAGGTCCTATGAATATCCTTCGACTAAACAATTTAATGGCTAGCAAAATCTGGACTCCAGATACCTTCTTTCACAATGGAAAAAAGTCAGTGGCTCATAATATGACAATGCCAAACAAGCTGCTTCGAATTCAGGATGATGGAACCTTGCTATACACCATGAGGTATGATGCTATGATATGCTACAAATGACTCTGTGAAACTATGCATTCAACAGCTCAGCTAGGTGTGGTTACACACTAGCACAAGTGGAACATTTTCCTAAAATTACTGACTATCTCATTATTTTGTAATATTAACAATCTCATATTTTGTTTGGACATGTAAGTAATTATAATGAGTTTAATTTTTAAGCTTAAAATTCCTCTAGTTGTTAAAAACTGATATTTTTGGTATCTTCCCATTCCATTTTAGTATATGACTAGTAATTTGCTTGCAAAAGCATATAATTTGAATTTCCATATCATGTCTTTTAGCCTATCCAGTTTTAAATGTTTTTGTGTACATATTTTAATCTATAAGTAATGTTCTTTTATAGATAAGAACAATCCATAGTTTTTATGTATTAAGTAAATTAGTTAAATAAAATCATGTATTAAGCTTAACCATGTAAAATTACTATTTTATGATTTAGATGATTATGCAACATCAATTTCATGCAGTTCATGGTTTCTTGAAAATACAGAAATATGTATAGTTGTTGATCAATATTATTTCCTTTCAAGCATTTTGATGAATATTTTAAAGTAATCTTTGTGATATGAGAACTAAAAATTATAAACCTAGTAAAATGAAGTAGATTCAAAAGTTAATATTTAATGGCTGATCTGAAGAACAAAATGCTGCTATTAGTGCTGGATGCACACAGACATGCTCCATGCCTTTGATGTCATACTGCCTAGTGGAAATAAGAGACACAGAAGAACTAATTTCTAGATGACTATTACATACAATGGGAGCGCTGGGTTATTCTTTCTTCTGTTTTTGAATACTGCAACACTTAGGTGTTACAGCTTTAATGACTGTTATGTTTTGACCATTTAGTCCTGAAGATGAAATTCCAGAGATTATATACATGTTAAGGACTATTAATGGGGATTCTACTTAAATACTGTGTGGCTTTTATGTCACAGCTGTGGATGACCACCTTTTTCTCAGCTCAATTTAGAATAGACATTTCTTTGAGTTCAGCTTAGTTCTTGTTTATTCACTTTGCTTTTATGTGAAATGGAAACAATTAGAAGTATTGTTCATGATGGATGTTTTTATGATTAGTGTTTGCAATGATTTATACTACATTCAGAGATACAAAATATATTTTAATATTCCTGGACTTGAACTCATAATTTTGCCATGAATTACTGTGAACACTATTTTTAAGTGATGCATCTATCTGTATCTTATCTATTTCTCAACATATATCTACCTATACAAGCATAAGATACTGATTTAAAAATGGCATGTCTTTAAGGAACCATATGATGGAGTATTACAGCAATTTTCTCTATAATTGATGATACCATGAGAAAAAAGACACTCTCCCCCTAGCAGATTTTTCTGTTTCTTCAGTTATTAAATATTGATAATGGTGTTAATGGCAAACCCTTTTACAAATACATATATAATTTATATACAAATATATTGTAAAGCTCTAGCTCTGTTAAGTGATTTATATTGACTAGCAAATCCACTTAAACCAAGACTGGAATTTTGGCTTCTAGGCTTACAGTTCAAGCTGAATGTCCGATGCACTTGGAGGATTTTCCAATGGATGCACACTCATGCCCATTGAAATTTGGAAGCTGTAAGTATAAGGACAAAAGTATGTCTTAAATCAATAATATAACTAGTAGTCAACATCTCTGCTGGATCATGCAGTTTCTTCTCATATTATGGGTTTCTCAATAATTGATCAATAGAATACAGAAATGAAAGACATGGTGATTGCCCTTAAGGAATTATTGGAAAATCCTATGGTTCATTCAAATATTTTCATCCATTATTAGTTCAAAACATCATTTCTTCTACTACAGAAAAAAACACTATGTTTTAGTTCGAACACAGAACTAAACCAGGGATTGTTGTAAAGTCAATACTATACTTTATTCATGTCTTTTCATGGTGCTTCTGTGTTAAAAATGTAAAATATTTTTTGAGTTTACAGTGATGTATATATGACAAATGCTCCTGCTTGTTTCTTGTTTGACTGTTATAAAAGTCAGAAAAAACAATAAATCCCATGTAGTTGTCTGTCTACCATTGACCTGATGGGAAAGGTTCTGTATCTTTGTAAACTTCATTTAATGAAGATGACAACATTGGATGGTTACATGTCAGTATCTTCTGTGCAGATAGAACATTTCTGAAAGTTTATGTGCCTCTGGACATTCTCTAGGTCACTGAGTTGTATCTTATACGTCAAGCAGAAATACTCACACTATGGAATAATGGAAAGGGCAAAGTCAGATCATCTTTCTAGGCCCACGGGACACTCCAGGCAGAATCAGGATTAATTCAACAGTGCAGCTAAGCAGCCTCCTTCCCTGACCTTTTCAGAAACTCTGCTCTTTCTGACATCTAATTTTTGATCATTCTAAGCAGCTTTAGGCTTTTCCTTCTGTTAAACAGAAGTTTCCACTTCTAACCTGATTAGATGTATGACTTACTGAGGGGGGAAGACTGTATCTCCTCACAGACTACCAAATCAATGAAAATATAATGGCCAATGAGAGAGTATATTCCTCCATTTTGTGGAGAGATTCAAGCTTGTTTGCTTTGTATATCCTTTTAGCAGGTGTCAGTTCTCAATTTTCTCTGACAGCCTCCTCTGGGCTTAACCACATGCCTTTCTTTATTACCATGGGAACCATCACTTCAAAACTAGTATTTCTTCCAATATTATTTAAGATAGTCAGTCATGTTATACAACGTAAACACAGTGTTGAGAAAACCAGAACAGATGCATCAGAGAAGCTCATTTGCATTGCATAAGTGACATTAAAGACAAACTTGAAAAGCTTTGGCACCCAAAAGGATTTATGCAAGATGCTGTAATGGTATGGGAAGGACAAGTGTTTTCAGTAGATGAGGTATTGTTACTATGGCATCAGATGTCAATTGGAAAGATGCCTCAATAGTGAAAATGAGATAAATTTGTTTGGAAGGGTTTGATTTCCAATTAAAAGCTTCACAGAGTATAGATTTAAAGTAATGGTCTATTTAGTGAGTGAGATTGTGGTAGTTTGCTCTATAGAAAATGCATATGATTAACACTCTAAGTTTCTGATCCTCATTCTTTTCTATGTAATTATTACTTATTTTGTTGTACTTTCTTCACACCCATATTCTGACACATAGCAAAGCAGTTTGTTCATTCTCTTATTTATCCTTGTGTGTAGCAAAAGCTTGAGGCATCTGTTTTAGCAGTATGGACAGCAGTGTGAATTGAGGGAACAACCCTAGCAAGCTGGCACGGAAAATGTTTGGCAGAAGCAGCCATGACATCATCTTGTAGCTGTTTCTTCTTCTCTTTTAGAAGTACCACTACTCTAAAATAATGGCATTCTCGGAACTTTATCGTTCTCCTCAAATAAAAGAAGCATATTTTCTCTACTTGTGCAATGAAAAAAAAATCATTGTGTTTTACTCCTATTACCTTACATCTTTGCGTTTTTATTGTTTCATTTAACTTGAAACTTCCTGAATGTAAGTATTGTATTATTCTGGGCAAAGAAATTGAAAGCTTACATTTTTTAGGATGGAAATTCATAGTTTACCATGATTTACTATTATATTTATTGATTACTGTGTGAAGTGAAGTGCATATGTATAGTGCAAAGTAGCATTGAAACATAGATTGCTTGGGAAAATTGTAAAAAGTCACTCTATGAAATCAATCCTAGTTTCAAAGTGGCATTTATAAAACAAACTGTAAAACAAACTGCCTTCTCCTTTAATTTTTTTTTTATTTTGAGTGAGTGTGTGTGTGTGTGTGTGTGTGTGTGTGTGTGTGTGTGCACTTGTGTGTGGTAAGTGCAACTGAGTGAAGATTCTTACAGAAGCCAAAAAAGGGCATCAGATCACTAGAAGATGGAGTTTCAGGAATTTGTGAACCCTCATGGGTGCTGAAAACCAAACTATGGTTTTCTGAAAGAGTAATACCTACTTCTAACTGCTGAGCCATATCTCCAGCCTGTCTTCTCCATTTATACTTTATTAATAAAATAAAAATAGTGATGGCCTGGCTCACCAATGGGTTTGAGCAGAGGGAAGTGGCTCTGAGATGCATTGAATTACATTCTGTTTCTAATCCTCTCACTACTGTAAATATATATATATATATATATATATATATATATATATATAAGCAGACTAAATAGAGTAGTTATTGAAATGCAGTAAATTCTTTTAATATACATATAATGAATCAGCCATTTTCTATAATACGTTCATAGACTATTATCAGATATGCAGATTTAATGTAATTTTCACACTTAGCTTAATCATCAATCTAACAGGAACAAATTGAGAATTACAGAAATAAATAAGATTGTCTTAGACCATTCTGTATCACATGACTTTTCAAAGAATATCATCACTATTATACACTCATTTCTCTTAGTTATGTCTAATGATAATATGAAAATTTGAGCAATGTTCATTTGGTATTTTTAATTGTGCTGCATTGGAAATGCTCTTGCAGAAGGGACCATGGTGTTAACTCAGGAGGGAACCAAAACAAGCCACTTGATGAACTGTAAATGAATGCTTAGTTAACTATATTTCTAACTTATTACTTAATTTTTTCAGTGACATAACAAGTAATGATTTAATTGAAATTAGCTAGTTGGTAATTTAAACTCTAGATAAACTAGATTTCACATGTGCAAATATATGAATATTTCTCTACAAAAGTATGCTCAAACACACCTATAAATATGTATGTATATCTACACCTATTTTTAGAATCTTATTTCAAAAATTGTTTAAAATAACATAATTTATTAGATGATTCATAAATCCAAGTATCAATATAAGGAGTATTTTACTGATATTAGTATTAGCAGCAACATTTAGAAAGCCATTTAACAATGAATGTCATAAAAGATCATGCTGCTAGCCCAGCAGTTATGGTGCCCATCTTTAATCCCAGCACTAGGGAGGCAGAGGCAGGTATATCTCTGTGAGTTCAAGGTCAGCCTGATCTAAAAAATGAGTTCCAGGATAACCTGGGCTGTTAACATAGAAACCCTGTCTCAAAAAAAAAAAAAAAGAAGGTGAGTTTAAAGGAGTCCAAAATCCAAGATAACTATGTATTTATTAGGGAAGCACTTACACAAATAATAGTAAATAACCGCTGATGCCTTTCTGCTCCACAGATATAGTCTGTGCCCTTCTGATGATCTCACTGCAATCCCAGAGAGCAAGCCACCCCCCCACACACACACACACATTACAAAGGTCATGTCTGAACACTTGAAACCATGTCCATAAAGTGTGGCCACCACCCAAGTTCACTGACAAAACAGGTTTCCACCACACAAAACAAAAATAAATGATCACACATCTTATGAACAACAAACACACATATTAATATCCACTGTGTTGTACCTCACACTTGAATGGAAACCTCACTGGGTCACAGACCTTAGCTCAAGTTTAATAATAATACTACCTTAGTACCATGAAGCTATGTGCAAAAGTTTATACAGAATAAAGAAATATGATTTCATGTCTCATGGATACCTGGAGAGATAACAAACAAAACAAAAATAAACAAAGAAAACACAAACAACAACAACAAAAGGGTCCTGTTTCCTCCCTAGTTTAAATTGTCACCATCATGCTGTTTGTTTCCCATGAAGCCACATTTTAAAAAAATGTACAAATTTCTCCAAAGGTTGTCAGTAGAGCAAGAATTATGCCTTTCTCATTTGCAATTGTGAAGAGGCTCTCTGCATAGGAGTAGGGATTCTAAACTGTTACAAAACAGCACACACGGACAAAAGAAATGTCTGAATAACGAATTGCTAACGCCAGATGTGTGACCTCTGCTCAATCCAGAGGCAGCTCATTTCTGATAAGTTCTTCATCTTTGGTTAAATACATTTCCTCTTTCTGTTAGTACTCAACTGTAATGCTATACAACTGTAGTCTGTGACTCAGGTATTCATTAACTAACATATAAATGGATATGTTTGAAAATGCATTGATAATGTGATGGAAGTATATGCTTTATTTTTATGTCAATTCTCATTTTTCTAAATAAATGCCTTTACTCATGATAAAGTCATTATCTCTTAACTAAATAATTTTAATATACAGAAATTTTGGAGAGTAACTTTTTATTTCACGGTAGTCACCATTTTAAAATAAACTGTGTGACTACGTTCTTTGCTTGTTCTCACAATGTCTTCCACAGCTTCTCACAATGTCTTCAGTAATGAGGGGATGTTATAATCATCTTGGGAACCAGTAATATTTTACTCGCGCTAAAGAGAAATTTGTTCACCATTTCTCAAAGTGATAGCAATGAAAATGCTTACATGTTCATGATTGGTTTTCCTGGTCCTTTTCATCACTATACTTTTAATGTTATAAATTAAAATACACATACATTTTCCTCTAAATCTGTGGTCATTAAATGCTCATTTGTGAGTTCTGATTCTATTAAATCTCCAACCAAAGATCTATCATTCTTGTAGTGTTTCTTATTCAAATGTTTACAATGTTTGTTTCTTGTTTCTAACAGATGCCTACACAACCTCAGAAGTCACTTATATTTGGACTTACAATGCGTCTGACTCTGTTCAGGTTGCTCCTGATGGGTCCAGGTTAAATCAATATGATTTGCTGGGCCAGTCTATCGGGAAGGAGACAATTAAATCCAGCACAGGTTAGTAACATCTTCTAAATGAATCTATCATCACCTCCCCCAAGATTTGTAGCTTAAAACAATTAAAAACATGTGAGAAAGTTGAAAACATTATACCCTTGAGCTCTATGGACTAACATAACAACACAAATTTCCTGGAAGCTTTTTGAGACATTTCTTTACTAAAACAGGTTCTGCAATAGGATTCCAATGAGATTGATATGTGTGTGCAAGTTTCATATGCTGTATTTTAAAACACATTTACTACATACTTAAAAATATCTGTCCTCTCAAATCAATCAACTTTAGCATTTATCTTCAAAGTAGTAATAGCAGCTTCCCTTGATTCCTCAATTTTTCTTCTATTGTGGGTAATTTATGATTATTCAATCCTTGTTTTCTGGATAATTGCCACTGGCCTGTGTGGACATCTCCTCTCTTCAGCCATCCTCAGTAAAGAAAAAGGCAGCTGTTTAAACTAATTATCTTACATCTGGCAATAATTAAAACTGTGGGAGAATAAAAATATAGAAGGTAGGTATGACAATTAGACAAAACTGACAGAAGCAAATTGCAGCAGCAATGTAGCAAGAGAAATTGCTGACTGTGTTAAAAGTGAAAAATCTGGGCCAAAAAAGAGCACTGTTGAGATCAGGAAGGATGGAGTGCAATCAATTGCAGTAGCAGTATGAAGGTTTTACCAGTAGAAAGGAGGGACCCAAGCTAATAAGATAACACACTAGCAGATTCTTTAGAATCCTGCTGGGGAGTGGGAATGACCTAAAGAGAAAAAGAACACCCCATCGTGAGGCATAGCAGTGCAATATTGTGGAAGTTGTGTAAATACTTAAAAAATATTTTGTTGCAATAGGACATTTTTATTTCTCAAAGTTTTCATCAAATTCATGTGATCATTTCTTCCTTCCTTTCTTTTTTTAATCAGGAACTTTTCTTCTTCTAATTCCTCCCATTTCTAAATTGTTCTGACTATTGACAATTACAGTTCCTTAAGCTTCTTGCATTCTCCTTCCAGGTGAATATACTGTAATGACAGCTCATTTCCACTTGAAAAGAAAAATTGGGTATTTTGTGATTCAGACCTATCTGCCTTGCATCATGACTGTCATTCTTTCCCAAGTGTCATTCTGGCTTAACAGAGAATCTGTGCCTGCAAGAACTGTGTTTGGTGAGTGAATACCTGCAGTACAGCACATTTTACTTCAAAGTTATTCTGTCTCTATGTTCATCATACCCATGACTTGTAATGCATAGTGCAGGGAATGTTGGTTCTAGTTTATAGATGAGAAAACCAAGGTTCTGACTGTAAACTATAATCAGTACCACATTTTTTTCAAGGATTTAAATTACTCAAATATCTTGGAACAACATTTAGTTATTTATTTTATTTTTATTTTTCTGTTTAATCACACTGCTTTGTCTCTATTCTAACAGATGAAGGTGTGGGTTTTTTTTTTTTGTTTTTTTTATTCAAGGATGAAGAATATTATATCTAAAGGCTGTTTGTGCTAACATTTTCTTTCTTTCATTTCTTTTCAAGAAAAGTGATGCTAATTCTCCCTCTTACAGAACATGGAAAATATTGAGCTAGACTTTCTTTACTTCCATTGGGGCATTTGATTTTCTTATGTAAAACAAGGAAAGGCAATTTCAGTTTTAAAGAGGAGAATATCATGAGTTTAGACTTTCTATATTTACTTTGGCTGTGTTTTGTAATGAAGAAATGTAATCTATGCATTTTAGATGAGAGAGAAAGTCATCTATTTGAGTAGAGTATTTTATACTCCCACCTCCTCCCCTTTGTGGTGTGTTCTATTGTATAATGGAAACTGCCTTTACTCTCTGTAGGGCTTAGATTTAAGGCACACATAGCCAGGCCCACTTAAAATTCAAGTTCTTAAAACAATGCAAGAGAATTTGATAGTAATTTTTCTGACATAGAAAAGACTGAGCACATTCTATAAGAAATGGATTGTCTTTGTGTCTTTGTGCTTGTGGGTACTCTCATTCACTTATGAACATGTTGTTGAGAACATGTTTTCATGTCTGCACCAGGAACTGGAAAAGCTAAACACACAAAATATAGCTTCTGCATCAGGTGGTTTGCTTAGTGGATAGAAGCAGAATAACTAAAGGATAATGGCAGTGTGGGATGAAGGCTTTATTGCAGAAGCACTTCCTTATTGGTACAGCAACTTAAAGGTTATTCTCTTATATTAAATTCAATGAATAAAATGGTAATTTAATGTTTGAGACTTGTCTTTAAAATGAGTAAGAGTGTTGTTAGCAGAAAGGATCAGCAAAATCATAACCAAGGAGAATATAATGCTCAGTATTATTGATGAATGAAAGGACATGGTATGTTTGATGACAACTGTTTTGGTGATGGACAATGAAGTTATATAGAGATATGGTTCTAGGCCTTAATGAGAAGGGAGTTGCTGTTCATATGAGAGAATGAAACTTCAGCTACAAAAATAGGTAATCCTATTCAGTGTTCTATTGTCATGACATTGGTAAAGCCCTAAGAGAAAGACTTACTATTTAATAAGTTCTATATATTTTATTTTGATAACTACTTTTCTGAGTACTATTGACACTATACAGTTATGCATATTTATTCTATATAATCCATGAAAATATCATGGTCAATACTTTCCAGTTTTCTCTTATTCCTTTCCATTTTTATGTTGTGATGGCAGTAAACACAAGTTCCATTCTTTATACATAATTTAATCACATCTCACAGCATTGTTAGTTATAGATATTATGCTGTGTGGTGGATTTACTAAAATGTACACTTTTCAAAGTTATTCTTTTTATGATTAATATGATCCCATTTATATTATAGAAAAATTTGGTACTTTTGTAGAAGTTGAAATGTAAGAAAAACTGAGAGACAATGAGTAATGTTAGAGGGATACTTTAGTGCAATGGAATAAAATTATATTACTAATAAGGAAAATAAAGGCAATGAAGAAAAATGAAAGGTAAGGAATAGATCCAAGAGTTTGGGTAGATATTCATCAAAACAATAGAAAAAGGAAGGTTTACAATGATATTTAAGGTAACCTTTATTTCTTTAATTGAATAATGTTGTCATGTTGTTGAATAACAAAGCAAAATGAACAAAATAGATATGTTAGAAAAATTAATGTTGTTTAGGTTAAGTGAATTTAGATTTTATAGTTACTTGTAATATCAGTTTTCAGCCCAGTATGTGAATGGAAGTAGTGTATACAACAGAAACAGACAACAGTGCTTATTGATAAATATGGGAATCACTGGTTAATATGCAATGGAATTTATATAGCAGATAAATTTGTTGGGTGAATATGGAACCAGGTGAGAGAATCCTTATGAATTTTAATAGGTGAAAATTAGATACTTAAAATTTGAATAAAATAATCATAAAATTAGGAAGAAAGGACAATTTTATCATCAAATAAACTAGTACATAGAAAGAGCTAAACATATAATCTTCCACTGATATCCAGTCTCAGGTATAATAGCAGAAACTTCTTCCAATTTAATAGGACAGTCTTAGAAAGATATAAACAGTCACAATATGCACTAAGAAAAGGATGGAATACTAATTTGTTTTGGCAAACTACTGCTAGGTATGGACAACTTCTAAAATGTGGTTGGTTGATATGGTGGCTTTCTTTATTCTGTCCTTCCCTCCTTCCTTTTTTCTTTCTTTTGTGTTCTTTAGTTTATTTAAATCCTTTTAATTTTTGTATGTTATTTTCCTTTTTTAATACAGAGATAGAATTGGGGAAAGGATTAGAGGGGACATGAAGTTGAGTGAGTACTGAGGTAAGGAAGGTCTAGGAAGATTTGAGAGAGAGGAAATAATACAACCAAGATACATTGTATGAAAAAAAATAAAACTTTAATGACAGAAAGGGGTAAGGAGACAGTAGATCGATCCATGTCTATTGCCATGCACCAAACTTAAGTTCAAGTGGATCAAAGACCTCAATATAAATCCAGCAACACTAAACCACTTGGAAGAGAAAGTGGGGGGTACCCTTGAAAGAATTGGTGCATGAGACGTGGAACAGACATTGAGACCAACAATTAATAAATGGGACCTCCTCAAACTTAGAAGCTTCTGTAAGGCAAAGAACACAGTCAACAAGACCACACGGCAGCCCACACATTAGGAAAAGATCTTCAACAACCCCACATCTGACATAGGGCTGATCTCTAAAATATAAAAAGAACTCAAGAAGTTAGTCACTAAAACAACAAATAACCCTATTAAAATGTGGGGTATATTAAGAGCAGCGAAGCAAAAAGGATGGGTAACATATAAAGGCAGACCTATCAAAATTACAACTGACTTCTCCATGGAAACCCTCAAGGTCCTGGATAGATGTTCTACAAGTATTAAGAGAACACGGATGACAGCCCAGGCTACTATACCCAGCAAAACTCTCAACCAATATAGATGGAGAAAAAAAGATATTTAATGACAAAACCAGATTTTTCCCAATACATATCTAAAATCCAGCCCTACAGATAGTATTGGAAGGAAAACTCCAACCCAAGGAAGGTAACTACGCCCACAAAAATGTAGGCAACAGATAATCAAACTAAGCCAGAAACCAAGGGAAAAGAAGAACAAATATACTCACAATACCACTGCTAACAACAAACCTAAAACAAGCAAGCATCAACAATCAATGGTCCTACTCCCCCTCAACATTTACGATCTTAACTTAACTATAAAAATACAGAGGCTAACAGAATGGATACAAAGACAGAATCCATCCTTCTGCTGCATACAAGAAACACATCTGCTCTTCAAAGATAGATAATATCTCAGAGTAAAGTGTTAGGAAAAGATTTTCCTATCAAATGGAACCAAGAAGCAAGCAGGTGTGGCTATCCTAATATCTAACAAGTTAGACTTCAAACAAAAATTATTCAAAAGAGGTGAAGACAGTCATTTCGTTTTCATCACAGGAGAAATCCATTAACACAAAGACTCACTTCTGAACATCTATGCACCTAATACAAAGGCACCCACATTCGTTAAGAAACGCTACTAACTCAAAATTTATATAAAATCTCACACACTTATGGTGGGAAACTTCAATACACCACTCTCAACAATACACAGGACCACTAATCAAAAACTCAACAAAGAAACAAAAGAACTAACAAAAGTTATGTCTCAACTGAGTTTAACAGACATCATTACAACATTCCATCAAAACACAAAAGAATATACCTTCTTCTCTGCTCCACATGGAACCTGCTCTAAAAATTGACCACATACTAGGTGGCATAACAAACCTCAACAGATACAAAAGAATAGGAATAGTACCCTGTACCTTATCACACCACCATGCATTAAAATAGGAATTAAACAACAACACAAATAAGCAGAAAACCTGCAAACTCAGGGAAACTGAACAGTGTGCATTTGCACCACACCTGGGTCAAAGAAAAAATAAAGAAATTAAGAACTTTCTAATATTCAACGAGAATGAGGACACAACATACCTGAACTTATTGGACACCTTGAAAGCAGGACTACAAGGGAAGTTCATTGCACTAAATGCCCATATGAAGAAAACAGAGCATAGTCACATAACAGAATTAACAGAGCAACTGAAAGCCTTAGAACAGAGAGAAGCAAACTCACCCCTTAGGAGTAGATGCCAGGAAATAATCAACTTGAGGGCTGAAATCAACAAAATAGAAAACAGGAAAACAATACAAAAAAATCAATGCAACAAAGAGTTGATTTTTTTTTTGAGAAAATCAACAAAATAGACAAACCTTGATCCAAACTAATGAAACAGCAGAGAGAGAACATGCAAATTAACAAAATCAGAAATGAAAAGGGGAAAATAACAACGGACACAGAGGAAATCCAGACAATTTTCAGGTCATACTTTGAAAACCTGTATTCCACAAAAATTGAGAATTCAAAGGAAATGGACAAATTTCTGGATAACTATCACTTACCAAAATTACATCAAGAATAAACAATTTAAACAGACCTATAACCCGCAATGAAATAGAAGCAATCATCGAAAGCCTTCCAACCAAAAAAGTCCAGTGCCAGATGGATTCAGTGCAAAATTCTACCAGACATTCCAGGAAGAACTAATACCAATACTCCTCAAACTGTTCCACAAAATAGAAACA